CTGTTCACCATGAGCCGCAGGAGCCTTGGCGTAAATGACGGTCCCGTGGCAGCTGCGATGAATGACATTTTTGATCAGGATAGGGTGGACGAAGCTGCATATGAGGCTCACGGTGCGCCCCCTGAAACTCTCAAGCGCGCCAGGGAGGCAATTGCGATGAAATATCGGGACCTCGTTATGTCGGCGGCGCAACGAGCAACATCCAGTATGTTTCCCCAGGATTCGCTTTCTGTTTTGACAAACTACTCACTCTTACGGCCAAAAGCTGCAGGCTCGAGTGCTCATATAGCTGCACAACGTGGAATCCAATCGCTACCGCCTACAGCAACTAACCCGTCCTATCCCGTGCATACCGCACCTGCTTCATCTCCTCCTCTCCCCTCGCATTTTGATGCATTCGCTGTTAGGCCTTCAGTAGGCGACCCAAGGGTGATAAGCCCGGGGTCTGTAATCAACCACCCAGCTTCGACAGGCAACAGTGTCAGCGGGATGCAGGGACAGCGACGACCAAATCACCTCCACATCCAAACTGATGCTGCAACATCGTCGCCTCATTTTGCCACTGCCTACCAGTCTCCCCAGTTACCACAGCATCCATTACCCAGGTCATCAAGCGCTGGGTCGCTCCCGATACTACCAAACCGCGGGTCTCCTGTTACGACTAACACTCCTATCATTCCATCAAATGGCCCATCGCGAACGGCTATTTTACCGCCGAATAATCCTCTATTACAACGACGAGCAGCCTCGTTTGCGCATCCATCCCAGACGCTTCCTACCCCTTACGGGACATACACCGAAAACCAAGCACCGCAACACCAGCTGGCAGGAACGCCGCAAGTCTCTAGTCCAGTTTCGCAGATGAGCCCTCATCATCATGGCCAGCCTATCCAGTCCCCGCAGTTTCAAATGGCATACAATCAATTAAACCCGCCTCGCAGGGCATCTACATCTCAATATAACATGATGTCAACTCCACCAGCCCATGTTTATTCCGCTCAGCCGATTGGGCCACGAAATCCAGCATACCAAGTACCGGTCGCTAGCTATCCGCATTCACTGGCTGGCCCGGTCCAGCAAATACCGGAAGCCGAGTATCCAGCTAGCCCGTATGGCTATGGCTCACTTCAAGTCGGGTTGCAGCACGTCGGTGTACGCAGTCCCAGGCGTGTTCCCTTGATTCCTGGCAAAATTCGACATTATCAATTTGTCAGACAGCTAGTATACCAACCCTTAGCCCTTGAGCCTCAAAGGGGACTGCGGTCTTTGTCTTTCAACGTGACAAAAGAACAGATACAAAAGTTAGCAAAGAAAATCGAGGGCATTGGTCTTCCATTTTGCTACTATTCCGAGGGCTCTCGTCGTTACCGGCTGCGTATGATTGTGCAGCCCGAGACACAAGTTGAACCATCCGAGTCAGATTGGGTGATGTCTGCAACATGCTGGCCTAGCCATATTTTCTTTGACCTGAATTCGAAGTCCCTTGAGCTGCGACGAAAACAACATTTTCATAAAGATCAACCGCTGGAGTTGACAGATTTCTTAGTTGAGGGTGAGAACAAGATGACCATCAGCTATCCTGCTGTTGAACAGAATTCCAAGCCGGGGTATAAGCATTTTATGGCGATTGAGATAGTGGAGACAATGAGCCATGGGGCGATTACCGACCTTATACAGTCGCGGCACTTCCCAGCAGAGGAAACGAGGCACAAGATAATACGTCGCTTGCGTCCCTCGGATTCAGACGACATCATCGTCCAGGACGAGACTCTGCCAATCTCCTTGGCAGACCCTTTCAGTAAGCAGAGGGTTGCGATTCCTGTCAGGGGCGGTCAATGCAAGCACTTGGAATGTTTTGATCTAGAAACGTTCTTGGGGACCAGAAGCGGAAAAGAGCCTCAAAAAGGAGGCGGCCCGCAGCAACAGGGGGAGGAACCTTCGTTGGTGGACAGATGGGGTTGTCCAATATGCGGACTCGATGCACGTCCTATCAGTCTCTTGGTGGATGATTATCTCGCGGCAGTTAGGCGCTCGCTGATTAGCAATGGTGACACTCGGACAAGAAACATCAAAGTGGCTCCCGATGGTGCGTGGTCTGCAGTATGGGAGCCGGAGGAGTCTGATGACGATTCACCAGCACCACAACCTAAAGGTCCGGTTAATGGGCATACTAGCAGGCAACCAAGGCCACCCCCGACACCAGTCATCGACATATCGGATGATGAATAGAGTCTTTGGGTGTTCTTGGTGGGAATGGGATATTTTTTGGGGGGGGTTTCGTTCCTGTGCGTGGCGTTCTGGAAACAAGTGCTATCGGCATCTTAACAAGATTGCTTTTTGAAAATAGATACCTTTTTTTTGGGAGGGGGGTTAGGTCTGGCCGCAACAATCCAGAGCTGGATGGTTAGGGAGGGCACTCCTCGATAAAGGCGAGAGGTGCACTTATTGCTCATTATATATGTCCGTGTGTATATGAAACTGATCAAGATTGCTATTGAATTCGAGCGCTTCGTAGATGGAGCATAAATCTCATTCATCGTCATTCTTCTCTGACAGAAATGATGATATGGGACTTGGTGAAAATGGTCAACTCTACCTTTGACCACCTAGGTACTAACCTGAGGTACCACACAAAGTATGAGTACAGGTATTCACTCTGTCCCGCCGGAGCATTTTCGGGCTAATCTTTATCCCGGTTGCGCCACTGTAATGATTGATAGACGGCTTCTGTGAACGACAAGCGAGCTGAATTGAGTCTCAGGATTACAAGTTGGCTTGGAGCTACTCGAATTCAATTGTTACTGATAAATGTCACCATGGTCGGTAGAAATCCCAGTCCACCTCGCCGACAACGAGCATGCGCTCCTTGCGCCAGAGTCAAAGCAAAATGCCACTTCCGGGAAGGGAATCTGGAGAAGCATATTTGCGATAGGTACTATATCTCTTAGTCTATGTCTACCCATGATTGTTTGATAGTAACAGAGTAAGGTGTGAGACCATGAAGAAGGACTGCTCCCCGCAGGATACGAGGGGCCTGAGAAGACCTCGCAGAATCAACCACGTAAACGGGTATGACGATGCGAACATGTATGAGACGTAAAGCTGATTACGATGAACATTATAACTCCCGAAGAGCAAGAACAAGTCATCACTATGGACACAATTACTTCGCCAGAGCTTACTGCTTTAAGCCATAGAAACCGAGCACAGCAGCCGGGCCGAGACAGCGATAACAACCAGCAAGTACTGGGATATGACAAGTCTTCCAGGAATTCAGCCCAGACAAATACAATTTCAGATAGAGGCACTTCGCAGCCTCCTTTTGGGCTATCATGGCCACAAGCAGCTCAAGTTCTTAGCCTCTTCCATGAAGAGTTCACCTCACAGTTCCCCTTCGTGACAGTCGGGAGTCATCACACTGCAGAATCACTGCACAAAAGCAGCCCATTTCTATTTCGTGCTATAATGATTGCTGCTGCGCCATTATCTGAAGCCGAGGTGGCCAAGGCAAGACGCAGCATACTCGCATATCTGAGCTTTAGGGTAATGGTTGAAGAAGATAAGACCTTGGACATACTGCAGGGTGTACTGGTGATTATTGCTTGGTAGGTTGATATCATGGTGGTGGAATTCATGCTGATGATTCATAGGGCGCACAGGTGTCACATCGACAACAGTCAGGTCACCAATCTGGCGTATCTTGCCCTTGGGTATGCACATAACTTGGGTGTTACCCAAGATATGTCATCGGCTCAAACAATGAGCTCAGGAACATCTAACAATGAACAAATGACAAACCTGTTGGGGGAAATACGAGCTGTTCTCGGACTTTATTGCGTTCTCTCAATGTGAGTCTACCAGTAACCAGTATTTCTTATCTAACAAGAGCTTCCAGTATTTCAACGAGACAATCACGACGAAACCCTCTCGACATACCCTACATGGAGACTTATCTCAAGATTGTCTCCCAAGCACAGGCAACCTCATCTGATCATTCAATAGAGTATATTGTTCGGTTCGTTCAGATGGGTGAGAGACTTTCAAGAAGCTTTGGCAAGCCACATGAGCGCCCGCTGTTAAGCCCATATGCTGTCCTTCTCGAAGGAACTGGAAGTCGTTTTCGCAATGACCTGAGTCGTCTAGCAGAGTCAGCCCCCAATGGCAATATCGAAACATACGGTCAGATGTTTGAGCTTTACCGTCTGTATCTCCTAGTGCGTCTCTTTGAGCCAGCAATTATCGTGGCATGCCACCCTGATGAGGGCGTTCCTCAATTCGTCTATCTTTTGACATGCTTAAGCAACTGCCTTGACGCAATGCAGTCTTTTTTCGACATTCTCCTTGGCTCGCCCGTTGATCTGCTATTACGCCGTTCAATACTCACATACGACCAAATTATATATGTCATGTTACAAGCTGCAAACCTACTTCTAGTTGAGATTCCTGACTGGAATACTCGGTCGATTCGACAGACGCTGGATCTCACCAACATACTAGATCAGATGGTGTCACGTTATGAAGCAGCCGAACGATTGAGCAGGGCAGCGGTGAGACGATTCGTCTTTTCAACACTTGAGGAAGAGTCTCCGGACGACATGACTAGTACATCGAAACTGGCAAAGGAAATACGCTGGCTAAAATGTTGGCTCGAGTCCAGATTTCAGGGACTGTGGGGAGATGTTGGGGAAGATACATATCAGGATGTATTGAAACCGACTTGGTCTCTAGGGCTCTTGGAAGAAATGCCATGGAAGGTCTAAAATCTCTGATTTACCTTTCACTGTAGCCTGTCCTGTGCAGACCACTGGGCTCTAAAGACGTGCCTATGATCTCATTAATGCATGGACGAGTGGCGGTTAAAGTGAACATCAGAATGCAGGGTATCATAGTTGATCTTGAAGAAAAAAAGCTTTAGAAAACACCATCATAACTCCTATAAGATGCCACGATCAGCCACACATATCTTACAACCGCGCCAAATATCCGGCAATACAATGACTCTATCGCTCATGATCTTCCACATATGCCTCATCGTCAGATTCGTCGTCAGTGAAAGTAATCTCAGGTTTGTCAGTATCATAACCTCTAAAAGTATCTTCCTCGGAGATCTCGGACTGTTCATCACTTGACCATGCAAAGCTATCTCCTTCGGACAGTTCAGACTCTTCGACATCATCATCGAAAAGCCCCTTGACGAGCAAGTCCCAACAATCAGGATCAGCCATGTCAAGGCCCTCAACCCTGACACGCCATTTATCCAGGATATTGCCCTCTTCATCATATGGCTCTCGTCTCATCCAGCCGGTCCACAAGGCAATGATCTTTGAGGCAGTCATAGCGTCGACCTTGAACCACTCGTGGTGGCGAACGTTGCAAGCTGGGCATGCTTTTTCTCGCTTCCTTTGATTCCAGAGCTGAGCATGTACAATTCTCTCAACCTTGACGTAGTGCTCGGCCGGAAACTCACCGAGCACTTTCGCGTCGTAGCCGCACCTGTATTTCCAATCTTGCATGCGCTTTCTGACGTTTTGAGAAAAGCCAATCTTGATATAGGGATGCGCGTCGTGGTAGCTCTCAGGATAGGTATAGAGGTAGATGTTGCCTCCATTCTTTGTCTCCTGCTCCTTCAATGAGCTAAGGAGTAGCTTTTTCATCGCTTTATTAGTCTCTAGGGTCGAGCGGGGACGGGAGAAGTCTTCGAACTCATGTGAGGCTTTGGGGCTCTTAGGCGAAAGTAGTTTGGGTTGTAAGAGCTTTGGGGACGGTTTTGTTGGAGTGGAAGGGGACGACTGAGGTCTGCGACGGGGAGTTGGAGTAGTTATAGGTGTATTGCTCTTGAATTGAATTTTTGGTTGCGATGAAATGACAGCAGTGGTTGGTGACATATTATCTGTTTCTTTCTCGGGTTTGAGATTATCTTCCTTGTCTTCATTCTTGATAAGCACCACTTTAAGGGACTTAAAGACTGTCTCCCACTCTGCCAAACGAGCAGGGCCTTTTTCTTGATGGGTATGCTGACACATGATCAAGTAAGAGACTTCTTGGAGTGTGGCCTGAGCAGCAGAAAAGCTTCCACGAGTAATGACTTTCTCCAAGAGACAAGTGATGAGGGCCGAGTTGGCTTTGCTGATTGGATTCAGGCAACGAGCATTCTTCTTCGTCAAGGCATGGCATTTTTTCACGTCAGTATTGATGTTGAGTAGCTCGCAGAGGGAGGCAGTAGTAGTTGGCCAAGAAATGTTGGAAGTGGTAGGGGTCATATTGGACATTCCCAGAAGCTGAGCTTCGAGCTTACTGGGATAGAGCTGCAAGAAGGAAAGGCTGGAGATGGTTTCTATGCCAACATGACGCTTGTAGTGCAGGTATATAACCTGATGAGGGTATCTCTAGGCGCCCGCGCCTCTTGGGGGCAGTGTCTGCGAGGAGGGCCTCCAATGTTTCTACTACTGCACGATGTGTCTGCCTCACAGACGGTGGTCGTGAAAACAGGCCGGGGAGGACTTCAGCTGGGTGGAGTCTGAGTAGAGAGATTTTGGACGATATGATGTTCTTGGTGAGGGGAGTTATGATCTATTGCTTTCCCTTATATAGTTCTTTCCGTCTGTGATAGTCTGATTTCCCACCTCACTTACAACGCACATTCAGTCATGGCAAGAGCATCACTGACATACTGACCTCTCTCTACCTTGGCCCAAATCACAACTGAGGCTTCAGAGGGCGGCTGCCTCCAGTCTGAGGGATAAAGAGCCAGGCCAGCGAGTGTGCCATTCCAAGGTATGGATGTTGGGAGATACTGACTAGTTTATGCAGTTGGTTCTACTACCCTTGTCTCGAAACCTCTGCGCCCCCTGCGAGTCGTATCATCAAGGGTCACGAGGCATCCGAGGGCGCTTCGAGTCATATCGAGTCGTCGTTCCCTTTCTAAAATTGGTATATTTCTCAAATGCGCAATACCACTTATGGGGCGTTCGTCAGTGATACTGAAGATATTGGTGGCATCTGGATCGCATCACAGCCACGCGGACGGGCCGTTGCGAGTTGTGGGGATAGTTCCCCTAGCATGTCGTCACTTCTGCAGAAGCGACCTGGATTGAATCATCATCCCTATGAATGACTTGGAGGGAGCTGATATGGAGATAGAATCGCCCTTGTCTAATTGAATTATGGTGATTCGCAGTTGTAACTGATGGACAAGTTGAGAGGTGATGAGGAGCCAATCAACGAGAATACTAGACAGGTACGGAGTACTAAGGCATACAACAGTAATCGGTGTAACAACACTCCGCTTCTGTCAACTAAGAACATATCTCACGACTGACTCTCAGAAGCACAAAGATAGCCCCATCTGTTGAATCGGTCTGTATTGGCTGATTCCCCCACAACTTCACAATTCTGATTAGGTACAAACACTCTCGTCATGCCTGCGACCGAAAGTCAATCAGATGCCGCTCAGCGCATGTACACTGAACGAGCAACCAACTATGAGGATTCTTGGCACCCCGACTACAGCAAGCGATTCATGGAACTTGTTCCCATCAAACCGGGCGATCGCGTTCTCGACCTCGCTTGTGGAACTGGCCTGGAGGCTGTCATTGCAGCAAGGCACGTCGGCGATGACGGTATTGTCATCGGTGTCGACATAACTGAAGCGATGCTCTCGGAAGCACGCAAGAAGCTGGATCACGACGAAGCATTGCATCGTCGCTTGAAACTTGTACGACACAGCGTCACTGACTTGACCGGTTGTCCAAATGTAGACAGGGACAGCTTTGATCTCATTCTATGCTCAAATGCCTTTGTTCTGTTCGAAAATCCGCAGGAAGTTGTCGCCCATTGGCGGGAGTATCTCAAGCCAGGCGGCACAGTTGCTATCGATATTACCCACGAGTATAACCTTCGCTCAGGCCTGCTATTAGAGAAAGTCGCTCGCCGATTGGGCATGCCATTCCCCTCCAACCGAAGCTGGATCCAGTCTAAAGAGTCTTTTAGTGAGTTATTGGAAAGTTGTGGTTTTGTGGTTGAAATGGTTGGGACTTTGGAAAAGGTCGTTGGGCTCGGCTCGATGTATCTAGGTCTCGACAAGGCAGATGAGCAGTTTGACTACGTTGTCAATGGCCCTATGACTGCCTCGATTGTAACGGAAGAGTTGAGAGTTCAAGGGAGAGAATATTTCAAAGAGGAATGGCACAATGCTGCAGTTGATGGCAAGGTCGAGGTATCTGATATACTCTACGTCTATATCGCCAGCAAGGCTTGATATACGAGTGTTCCCGAATGTCCTTGAATCTATCTCACATTTTTGCCTTGACTTTCTGAACCTTTCGTTCAATGGATATCCTTGGATGATCACCAGCGAGCTTCAGCCCAGTCACTCTCTCCAGCTCATCAACGGCCTCGAATGCTCGACCAAGGTTCACTTTTACTGTTTGCAGTCCTTGTTTGCGTGCTTCCTTCAAATTCTCCCCGATATCATCGAGAAAAATCACATCCTCTGCCTTGATACCGACCTTCCAGTTCAAGCTTTTCCCCCGAGGTGAATAAGCATTGGCTTTCGCGAATTCGTTCACTCGGTCGAGAGCCAGCTTATAAATGGCCGGATCTGGCTTTCGCATTCCAACATGAGCGGAAGAAATGAAGATATCAAATATCTGCCGCACAGGCTCGTCAAAGAAATGGTCCACCTGGAGTTTGTGTCCAGGCGGAAAGATGACCGTATTACTCAGAGCGGCGAGAATGAATCGCCCGTCCTCCTTCAGCTTTCTCAATGCTGGGAACATCCATGGGTCGGGGTTATTAGACACGGTCATCATCTCGTTGAAAAGCCATTCTCCATCGATCGAGGGAACAGGAGGGGTTTCCTTTGGGAGACTGGGATTTTTGTTTTGCTCCCGCCTGTAGAAGGCCTCCCATCTGATGGGATCATGGAGGTCTCGGCTGAAGCCCTTGAAGAACTCTTCATTCATTTCGATTTCTCCTTTTTCCAAACGATGCCAGAAGCCATTGGGCGCAGTGCTGGATATTGAATAGTTGACCCACCCTGGAGGGATCCCAAGGCTTAACTCATAATCGAGGATTGCTTGGAAAGGGGAAACGACCTGGAGGAGTCAGTAACCATGTATGTGGAATAGTTGACTAGGTATATGTCTGGAGTTGAGGCGCCCAGAGGATTGAGAAGCAAAGTGCAATCGGCGGTAAACACTATGTCTCGAATCACTTACACAAACACCCCCGATGTCAAACAACAGAACTTTAGGCTTAGACTCTGACATTATATCCGGTTTGACAAATGGAAAGGGTTAGCTTTATTAAACGCGACCAGACAGTGAATATAAGAATCTGAAATATGTAAGAACTCAACCATCTAACTACTGCTTGACGTATTCTTGCCATCTTCTATCCCAACAACGACTCCACCGAGGCTTGGGGTATCCGAGGAGCCTCGGCAGATCCCCCATCTAGGTTGGCGTCTGGGAGACGAGATAAGATAAGATAAGATAAGATAAGCCCACTGGCACGTGACCGGCTATGTCTCGTCCCCAACCCAGGTCCGGACTGGATTGATTAGGGCTATGATAATATCCCCCACCATTGAGAATTTACGGCTTATTCCTCTCTCAGCACCAACTTTCCAAACTTCAACACTCAAGTCGTCGTTGAGCAAATACCGTCAAGATGGTAAGTTGAGGCCTATCGCAAGGGAGTATCTTCGCTGAAGAACTCCCTTGGTGTTTTTTCATTTACGGTAGAAATGCCAATTGCTCTGAAAGAGTCACCGCAAGTTGCTTCGGAAGGAGAAGAGCATCTGAAGCGCAAATTGCTGACTCGGGGATTTTGTGACAGGTTTTCCACAAGTTGGTGAAGAACAGCGCGTACTACAGGTGAGTTCACACTGAGTTTCTCTCCACCTAGAGAAATTGCTGACAATCTCGTAGCCGCTACCAGACCAAGTACAAGCGCCGCCAGCAGGGCAAGACCGATTACTACGCCCGAAAGCGCCTCATCACCCAGGCCAAGAACAAGTACAATGCTCCCAAGTACCGCCTGGTCGTCCGCTTCACCAACAAGGACATTATCTGCCAGATCGTGACCTCTGAGATTTCTGGCGACAAGGTCTTCGTCTCTGCCTACTCGCACGAGCTCAAGGCCTACGGTATCGAGCACGGTCTCACCAACTGGGCCGCCGCTTACGCTACCGGTCTCCTCATCGCCCGCCGTGCCCTCAAGAAGCTCGGCCTCGACGAGGACTTCACTGGTGTCGAGGAGGCTGACGGTGAGTTCAAGCTCACTGAGGCCGCCGAGACCGACGATGGCGAGCGCCGTCCCTTCAAGGTCTTCCTCGATGTTGGTCTGAAGCGAACCTCCACTGGTGCCCGTGTCTTCGGTGCCATGAAGGGCGCCTCTGACGGTGGCATCCTTGTCCCCCACTCCGAGAAGCGATTCCCCGGTTACGACATGGAGACCAAGGAGCTCGATGCCGACACCCTCCGAAACTACATCTTCGGTGGCCACGTTGCTGAGTACATGGAGACCCTCGCCGACGACGATGAGGAGCGTTTCCGCAGTCAGTTCCAGAAGTACGTCGACGACGACGTCGAGGCTGAGGGTCTTGAGGACCTCTACACTGAGGCTCACGCCGCCATCCGTGAGGACCCTTTCAAGAAGGCCGACAGCGATGCTCCTAAGAAGACCAAGGAGGAGTGGAAGGAGATCTCCAAGAAGTACAAGACCAAGAAGCTCACCAAGGAGGAGAAGGAGCAGCGCGTACAGGAGCGCATCCAGGAGCTTCTCCAGCAGGAGTAAAAAGTTGCTTTATCTCATCAGGTCACGGGCATTTGAGGATTGTTAACCTTGGCATTGGGTTTGGAGTTTCGAGGAAAGGAAAGGTCCGTAAACAGGATCACATGAATGAATTACCAAAAAGATACCTTCCAGCCAAATTCCATAGTTGTGGTGAACGGGCATCTCATTACTTCAACTGTCTAATGCTTGCCATGCGTAGTCCTCGTGTTTTATATGATACGTGTGTGCGTGCGGAAATCGAGAGCAACCCTTACCCTTGGTGGGCCTAGCGTAGCAGCTGCAGGATTAGTGCGAGTCTTATTTTTCAGGGCTGAATCTTGGCCATGAACCTCAGCACCACAATGCTGTTGAGAGGGCTCTTGTGGTTGTACGACACGGTCAGCACTTGACATGACTGTCCGCATTTGGCGTTGTTGCGTATCGGTTAGCCGAAGAAGAAAATGGAACGCATTCGACTTCGTGTAATAATCTTGTAAAATCTCGAAGTTAACGTCTAATAGAGTTGATACCGGCACCGTTGGCCGTATAAGGTTCCTTCCGGATATCTCGGATTTCCTGTTAACTATGTGTAGTATCGCACTTACTGAGGTATTCGGAATTTGATTGTGACGAAAACTAGATTGACTGGCTGCTCCATTGCTCGGAAAAGAGCCAATTTCAGAGAGGTCTATTCGGAAATGGTCATGATGTGTATCCGGATGATGGACTGACAAATATGTACCAGCTAGGCACGGTCGTGCTGGTTGAGATTCAATAACAGCGGACTGAGTAGTATTTCGAGAGGATCGCAAATTGGGGGCCCGCCTTTCGCTCTCGGAGAAGGTCATGATTCCGCGGCCGAGAGCATCATTCAGTCTACCTATTCCAGTCTGTGCGATTAATTTAGTGACGATTTTGGTCAATGTGGCGCGTGCTCAGTGTGTATGCCAGACGTAACAGAAACTCCCGCCGCAGTTGGTGTCGGATCGGATGGACCCGGTGGGTTCCTCAACTGATGCAATCGAGGGAAATGAAGATCGGATATATCCTACGATGTCAACCCTGCTCTGCTGGCTGTGAGAAAAGGGAGACTGGCCCACGATGGACAAGCACTAAAGGGTTCAGTCCAAAGACTTGGGCACAGGCCAGGGTATAAGTCGGCATCTCTGGATATACATCCCACTTCCCCCTGCTTGATATTGCCCATTTCCTAACTCCCTTGGAAAATGTTATGCGACCGAGAACTCTAACGGCATCGTCTGCCAAGTAATGGAGAGTCCAGCAACTGCAGGAGACTCGAACCTCAGGGCACAATGGAACGAACCATGGAACCTGACCAAGGATCTTAGTAGTGGAGATATGGTACTGTACCTGCTAGGCATTCGAATATGACGCCGGATTTTCGGACTTTGGTCTCTGGAACAAAGCTCATCATACCCAATTCTGGTAACGCTCATCACAAGAATTGAGCGGTTGTGAGAGAGGGGTGACGTCTTTTGTTTGCTCTTTTGCTCATGATGGGCTGCGAACCCTAGGCTGCATGCAGTGGACAAGGGTTTATCTTGACCTCGTGCAACGACTTAGAATGAATCAATGCAATCATTATTCCGCTGAGGATTTATGCATACAGCAGCGGAACAGAGTATAAGACCCAACTTGCTCAGTTGGCTGACGGGCTCAGAGCCCGCGTACAGCCACATGAATCCCTTCATCATTGAAATAACCGCGCTCTGCACTGACGCCCATTTTGATACTAAACTTCCGTGCCCGGGGTACGGTCGGCTCGGTACATGCGGGCGGGTAGGGGAATTGAGAGGTAAGGTAGAAGTACATGTACCGATACAACACAAATTACCTACCTTGCCTTTACCTTAGTAGGTACGGTTGCTTCCATTCTTGGGCTGTTGAACTCAATGCCTCCTTTACCCGTAGCAAGGCGTGGCGACGAGGCGATATTCATCTTATTGTATCACTGAGTGAGACTCGAGATTCAGCTCGAGACAGAGCGCGCTATTCAGCGTCACTTGTATCACAGGACCTCCCTGTAAGGTACTACCTTAGTATTGTGGGCATTACAAATTTTGTCGGACCCTGAATTGCAAGTGACTTGACTGTCATCCGTAGATGAAGTACCTTTTAGTTAAGTAGGTACCTTAGTCTTGATCAGCAAACTGGGTTCGGGCTTGTTGCCTCTTGGTCAGCAGCAGATGAAATGTCGTTTGCCTCACCGACCGCCGCCGCCTTGTGTGTATTGTTTTCTAACAACTTACAGTTGCTATTGCGCTGGAAATGTGCTGTCTGTGCCTTATTTCAACTGCTCGTGACAAACCCCTACCCCGCTATTGGACTGGATGTTGTCATAATTCTCCCCCGACATTTCCACTTCGCATGGAGCTACCACGACATATTCATCACTTGCTCCCCGTTTCTATCTCGATCTCCTCTCTCATCCTCCGTCGTCATTGCTCTAACTCCAGGTCGAGACCACCTTCGTGCATAGTCTAGACCAAGCCAAACCTTAGTAGGTACCGCTCGGATGCCCACATAAAGTACATGTACTTTGCGAACCGCTACCGTTACTCTACCTGTATTTGACTACGATAGTCCAAGGTAGCTCTTAACTATACCTCATTCAGCCCGTCTCCAGGATTCGCTAGCCATCCATACCTTACCTTTACTCTGGGCTAGAGCCATCGATGGCATCCATCCCAACACTACCACCTCACTAATCATTATCTCTCGGGTCGATTCTCTCCTCTTTTCATTACTCATTACTCATTCACCCTTCACCTCCTCTAGTTCGGCTCCAGCTTTTATAAACACTGTTAAAACTTGTATAAGTTCTTATCATCATTATCTCGTTCACATCTTGGCCAGCTGTCTCGGCTCCCCTCCCACTATGGAGCAGGTTCATGGTGTTGATGTCAGCTGGATGACCCATGGTGCTTCCAAAGGCATGTTTCCCAGTCGCCACTCGCCCAGACTTCAAAACGCGCATCGTGTCTATTGTTCTGGCGCTTTAGACCAAGACCTAGAGCTAATATGGCGAACAGATAAAGCAGCCAGGAATTCACCGCCCACCAAAACTCCCTCAGCAGCTCTTCCAAGACAGATCCCTGGCGCAAACTCTCGACCGAAGTCGCCGGCTTCGGCTCCCACAGATAACGCCTCCGTAGACTCCAATATCTCGACCAATGGCCAGTCCACGACTCCAAATGGCTCCTCAGCTACAAAACGAATTTCGCGCTCCAATTCTATAGATAAACAGACCCCTCCTGGCACATCGCCTCACCGTCGCAATTCATGGTTCTCCAATATCTCTGCCAAATTCTCTTCCTCTAATACACCACCAGCCGGTCCTCCTTCGCCAGCTCCCATACCAGAGTCGTCGCCCGCGCCACCGGCAGACCCCGTCCCTCCCAAGCTGCCACATACAAAGAACGCCGTGCTCCCCCATGCTGCGAAACCCGAAGGCGATGGCCCTTATATACCAGCTCCACCCAGGAGTGGACAGCCCGGCTTCCTGGGCATGTTCCGGCGCCTGTCTTCTTCTAACAATGGGGCTCTTTCACAAAGCGGAAAACTTGGCCATGGTCTTGTCGACAGAGTGGTTCTGAATGTCGACCAAAGCCGAGAAAGATGTCCTATATCGGAGCTCTCTTGTGCCAAACTTAGAAGAGTCGCATTCTGTGTGGACGTTGAGATTGCGCCCCAGCCGAAATATGCTGACCACGATTCTTCACTACCTAAAACGACCGACAAGACCCAGAAAAAGAAGTTGACTGAGAAGGGTGAGGGCGAGGCCCTGAAGAACCCAAAGGCTGTGGAAGAGCAGAAGGAAACCAACGGAGAAGTCAAGACTACAGGAGAAACATTGCCAAAGGAACCTGAAAAGGAAGGGACTGAAGCACCTCAACAAGTTAGTGAAATGGCCAATGGCAGTCCAACTCCTGTGCCAGAGAAAAAGGAGGAAAACACCAAGAAGAAGGAAAAGAAGAAAAAGAGCGAGGAAGAACGAAAGGCCAGAAAGGAGAAGAAGCGAAAACTGGACGAAGCCAACGGATCCATTCCCATGGAGATCCATTTTGACAGCAGTGATGACTCGGCCAAAACAAAAACGCCGCCCAATGGCCCCGAGACCAACAAGCCTCAGACGGTACCTACCACGAACCCTGTGCGAGTATACCGAAGATGCTGCCAGCTTCGCGAAACGCCAATTCTGAAAAAGATCACTGAGCAACTCACCGATATGGCCAACTACAATGCCTCGACTGGCACGGTCAACAAACTTGATCTAACAGATTATTGGCTCCAATTACCAGATCTCATCACTCTCGGAGATTATCTTGCAATCGTCCCTGTGAGGGAAATACTTTTAGAGAACAGCGGGCTCGGCGACGAAGGTCTACGAGTTATCCTAGCCGGTCTGCTGGCAGCCAAGAGACCAGCTGTTGTGAGGCGGCGGAAGCCCAAGCATGACGATGAGGATCAAGGCGGCGTAGTAGAGCGACTTGTCCTGAAGAACAATAAGATAGGCCCTGATGGATGGAAGTATCTCTCGCTTTTCATCTATTTATGCCGATCGCTTAAATTCCTCGATGTCTCTTACATTCAATTCCCACGCCAGCCTCAATCACAGCAAAACGGTTCACTCAACAATGGAGTTCATATACCTCGAAGCATCTCGAGCATCTTCTCCGCTGCTTTGGGAGAGCGACTGGGGGGGTCAACGCTCGAGTTAGTGAACATTGGCCAAACGGGTTTGACAATGGGGCAGCTTGGAACCATCGTCAACGGCTTGATTCAATGTGGCGTGAAACGACTCGGTTTGTCGCACAACCAGATCGATGCAGAGGGCATGAAACATGTTGTCAAGTTCCTTACAGAGGGTCACTGCGAAGGTCTCGACCTGGGCGGCAATGATCTCAGCCAACACACTGAAGCCTTGGCAACAGCCATCGAGAATGATACTACGCTCTGGGGACTCGGCATGGCCGATTGTAACTTGACGCCGTCCGCACTCTGCAAGATCTTACCTGTGATGGTCAAGCTACCGAATTTGCGATTCTTTGACTTGTCCCAGAACCCATCATTGTTCCAGTCCACCCCCAGCGCCGTTGGTCTGCTCAGGAGGTATGTTACCTGATAACCCTCAGCCCGATCCAGATATGCTAACTGTACATAGATATCTTCCCAAGATGAAAGTGCTGAAACGAATGCATCTAGAAGATGCTGCGATGACGCCAGAACAAGCGATCGCAATAGTGGAAGTGCTCCCTGAGGTTAAAACGCTGGCACATATCAATATCACCAACAATGCCGAGATTGTCAAGCTTGCCGATGCAAGCACAGAAGAAGCGCAAGAAGAAGCATGTGCTCTTTATGCGTCTCTACTTGCCGCGGCTCGTGTGTCCAAGAGTCTCATTTGTGTGGATATCGAGGTTCCTAGTGAACATGCTGGAGAGATTGTCAAGGCCATGGCTAAGCAAGTTGTTGCCTACTGCCTTCGTAACATGGAACGACTTCCCGATACTGACGCAGGTGCGGTTTTGGCATCGACGCTTGCCGAGAACAACCTAGAGGCTGGCGAGAATAAGTTGCCACCTTATCCTGATGTTCTCGCACATCTCGTTGGACACGACGTCTTAGACCAAGACGAAAGTGACGACGATGACGGTTCAGCGCCTGATGAGGACTATGTCATCGGAGGTACTGGTGTGGTCAAGGCGCTTGCCTGTTGCCTGAAGAACCGTGGCGATGAGTCACGGAGACAATCAGGTGAATTTATTCGTGAGATTGAGAACGGAGCATCAAGCCCTGCGGCGAACTTGTCCACAGGCGGAAAGGCCAAGGACATGTCAAAGCACCTATTGATGGGTGCACGCAAGATCCGCCAACGTCTCCAGCCAGCGCTCATCAAAGCAAGGGCAAATCCTGATGATGATCACAACCTCCGCAGACTAACCTTCCTCGACGACACATTGCAAGGAATTATCAAACGTTTCGAAGACGAGTACCCGGATACCCGCGAGGATCCTGCATTGCAAAGGCGCCCCCGTGCAGGGACAAAGGGGAGCGAAGAGTCGCCAACCACATTGCCACTCGAGGATTCCGCGTTGGCTTTGTCGGACAATGAGGACGAAGGCGAAATCACGGGAGGCAAGCCACTGTCGAGGTCCAACTCTATGGCCAAAATATTGGTTGAGGAAGAAGGCCGAATCCTCCGTGCCGGTCATCGCTTTCGTGCCGGCCTCATTAAGGAGGAGCAGATTGACCTCCTCAGCACAATCGATGATATCGGATCTGATCCCAAACACGTCAGGATGCTTGTTGAACTGGCTGAGGATCTCGGTGGAGAAATCTGGGAATTAGTCAAGGAGAAGGGTCCCGTGAGGGCTTTCAAGGAGGATCGAGATATTGCTTTCAAGTGCATGGAGGCGAGCGATCCAGAGCACTGGGCTCGATTCGCTGAGGCGCAGTACAAGTCTCGTGCGAACATTAGCATTCCATCAGCAGCGAAGCAGGGAGAGGTGGCGGACGAGAGCGCAGTTGCTGATTGAAATAGTGGGCTGCAAGAAAGATGCCGAGATGATGCCTGTATAAACAAGCCTCTGCTAGGAGAAGATGGAGTCATGACAGGTTGATCATGGCCTGTGCACCATCATGAGTAGAGAGAAGGATGTGGATTGACATGACATGTTATGCGCATAGAAGTCAGGGCGCTCGTTAACGACTGACTTTTCCCTTTCGTTCTATTTTGCTTTGAGCGGGGAGTTATGAATAGGTTCTCTTTCAATCTTTGAGGGGAGAAGTGGCTATGCTATACTATCAATGCGCGAACGGGATCACAAATACGTGCATAGTCTTGGGAACCGAGTGAACAATACAGCGTCGCGAGCGGAAGTCGTTCTCAGTTAAGGGGCGTTGAAAAGAGTGATACTACTTCGTATTATATGTAATGAGGTTTCCATCGAGAATTACACACCCTGGATTTGTTCTGGGGAACAGTGTTTAACTTGATCCTCAGTGGATATTCACTATGTAACCTTGAACAAGTACCGACCTACTACGGACAGGTAGAGCATGATGTGCAGTGCAGCTCTAGACCTATATCTAGGCGATACGGCGTGGCCGGGATGAGCACGGGGGTTGATCTCTGCTATTCGATTGATTGATTGATCAATTGATTCATTAATTAATTTTTATTGACGCCAGAGACGATGGGAAGCAAGGCAACAAGTTCTAGCTTACCCGTTGTTTCGTTTTGGTCAAAACCGTGAGATTCGGTTGGTCCGTGACTTGGAGTCCTTAATTCGGCCTGCAACGTGAGCTATTCTGCTTTGGGGAGCATGAAACACGAACCATGCCTTATGGGGCAACAGGGGTGGGACAACCTCTTGCATCTCCAACGTCTCGAGCTTCAGCTTTCAATTAATATTTTACTCTTGTCAACTTCTGTGCGCGTTTCTTTCTTTCTTTTAGTCGTTTCACCGGATGCGATTCGAGCCATTCTATTCGCACATAAGTCTCTCGAGTCCGCTTTTATTCCCGTCTTGAATGCACAGCCTCATGTCGAGGCTTCTTTCAGGGTCGTATCTGACAGGAAGGGGAGTAGGAGGAGGAGGGAGGACTCGTGATGATGCACCCACTGATCAGGCCGTAATGATGCTAAATCCAGAAACTTCGCATTAGGTCTAGACTGCATTGAGGTCTAGATATTGTGGTTGAAGTAGCAGTTTTGCAGTCATCGCATCCGTCATTGGGCTGTGAGATCTGCGTTTCGTCCGTCTTAATACAGGAGTTATATGTGCAACATGGTTGCTGAGCTGGCAATGCGAGGACAGCAAATCACAGATTCGATGGCTTCTTTGCTACCCAGCCATCAAGAACTCTCAATCCTTCTCTCCTTGTTGCTATCATTATTATCGCCCGTCCGTGTTGAAGCAACGAAACGACCCAGGATATCAATGTGTGGGTTGATGCTCATTCCATTTCCTGGGCTCCTGGCTGTGGTCGTGGGCGTGGTAGGTAATCATAGCTGATGTCGAAACAGAAGCACGACCCTCACCTGCGGGTTACCCGTCGACATCAGGCTGGGTTGATTGGCTTCCGCCCGTCCATCTAATTCATGCAAATGCTTGCAAGGCCTATGCTAGGGTCCCATGCGGAACCCTTGTACAGCCTGGGATCCCTCGACCACTTCGCTGGCTACGAGATCTTGAGCGTGTCTCTCGTCTCTTTTGGTCCAACGACTTCCTGGACTTCTCTCCCCTCTTCTTTCTCTTCTATTCTACGGACCTTCTTTTCATTCGTTACGGTCTGTCGACTGTTGGTTATTCGTTCGTTTCTTACACTCATTTAACCTTCTGTTTAGTCTGTCGTTTCCTTGCTATATTTGCTATTATTGAGGCGAGCTGCGCTCATCATCGTAGTCTTTCCACCCACCCTCTTTGGCCATACAGTATCATTTCCCCCCCAGATATCACCCAGTGATCAACGCACCTTTACACTTTGACTGTTGACCAACGAGTGTCATACATGACCGATCGCCCTTGGCTTACATCTTCGAATCGACTTCGCCACATTGTGTGACAGTCTCTGAACAAATCAAACCTCCAACCTCCGTCATCTCATAAACCAAATCCCATATGACGATGGAGGGGCCTCCTTCTACCCGGTCATTTAGACCATGGGTGTGGGATAAGCCTGGCTCAGTCATGAACTTTGAAAACTTCGAAAGGTATTCAAACAACAGAAGTTATGTCTGCCTACGGCATCCAACTAATCCGAGATAGCATCTCAGAAGAACCTGGCTCCGCGACGACTACGCGACCCCCGACTAGTCGGACCCGAGGCTTCACCACTTCCTCAGGACGGCAGACCGTCAGATGGCCCTTTCACAGCTTCAGCAACTCACGATCTTCCATTCCCAATTACCCCCGCAGGCCGTCCAACTCTCGCTCTATCCCGCACAGTTCGGGCTCCTTTCCTCGCCGTGCTGCCGGCAGCATAAGTCGTTCTGTCTCTAGCGTTCTTGGTAGCGACATCATCCCTGACTATGTAGTCAACTTCATGCGCGGTGAGACGCCCGAGACTCTCGCCCGAAGACACCGCATCCCAGATAGTCCTGAACCCGGACAGTTTCAACGCCCACGGGAATCTCAACTAGACTTTATTCACTCAGCTTCAAGTACGCCCGACAACTCGAGGCCGGGTACTCCGAGGGCTGAACGGGAGAAGATGCTTGTGGAGGAACGACCGCAGCCTACCCGATCTCTTATGACAGGATGGAGAGCTGGTGTTGCGGCCAACATGTTTCTGGCTTTCTTGATTCTTGTGGCTTCTGTGACTTGTCTCGCTCTCGCCTCGGCCCAGGGACATATGTCAACATGGGAGTCGCTGTTAATGGAGGGTAATTCGACTACAGTTGAAGGTATTGCTAGAGGGATCTTGGCGGCCGTGAATATGTTTGCCATCATTCTCATCGCTGGAGCCAACTACGTCGTTCAAATCCTCAACAGCCCGACTCGTGCTGAGGTAGACAACGCCCATTCAACGTTTAAGTGGCTCGACATAGGGACCCCATCTTTACGAAACATGTCACTCATCTCTTCGACGAGGGCAACGCTGTCGGGTATCATGATGGTTTTTGCCCTCCTTTCCCAAGTAATGTATGCAATCCAAAATCCGACGACTATATTGTCACTAACAAATTGAAGATATAATGCCATAATTATTACTACCGAACACGCAGAGAAATCTAAATCGTCGCTTAATGTTAACGGGCCTCTTCTCGCCGCTATTACGCTAATCAATGTTGTTCTCATCCTCACTTATGCCATCGCCGTCGCATTAGCACTCACCAGACAAGTTTTCAGTCCACTCGTTACGCTGGGTGATGCTCTGAGCTCGTTCCTCGCCGATCCCGATGTCAGCACTCAGGATTCATGTCTCATCATCAAGGAAGAGATCAAGAAGGGATTATGGGGAGACCGAGAGGGCAAGTACTGGTATGCCAAGACAAGCCGCTGGTTCAATGTCCCCTCATTCAACCGATGGGCTATTTGGTTCATGACGTGGATCATGCCTGTGGTGTTGGCAGCTGCGGCTCTGACACTAGGGGCTGTGAAGGAACCCAAGGAGGCCTTTACTAGGTTCGGCAAGGCGACAGTGGTATATGAGCTGCCCGCAGGAACGTCAAGGTCTGGTATGGCCGTTCTGGCTGCGTTACCCCAGCTCCTTTTGGGTCTGCTGTACCTTTCCAGTAATGCGCTGCTCACCCTGTTCTACCTGTCTCACGAGCTCTCGCAGTTTACATCGGACCTGCTTCCTTTGCGTGTGTCTTCAGGACAGCCACTCGGTTCCCAGACGACTTCACTATATCTCACCTTGCCTCGGCCCGTATCCTGGATACTCTTCTTTCTTGTCGTCGCAATGGCTTTTCTTCTCAGTCAGGGTATTCTTCTCGTAACCGTGGACGATATTAAGGGAACCACAACGGGAATTGGCTTCAGCCCCCTACCGCTACTTATCCTCCTCGTTCTACTCGTGCTGCTCGGTCTCGGCATTGCTGGTCTAGCACTCCGGCAGGTGGATCCCCGTGGTTCCGTCGAAGGCGGAGAGCCGGCCGGTAACCCACTCGCTTTAGTGGGCGGAACGTGTTCGGCGGTTCTGAGCGCACGATGCCACCGAGTGTCGCGAGAGGGCGGCGTTGAAACACTGGAGGTTCGTTGGGGTGTGGTGCGAGAAGGAGTAGGAATGAACGCAGGACATGCGACCTTCTCCGGAAGACCAGTTGGGGACATCATGGTTGGTAGAGCTTACTCCTGAGGAGGTGAATTTATTCTTGTAGCCGACTGGTTGTATCAGGCAACGATTGCATTCTTTATAGCGGGTCTGATTATTCTTGGGTTGCTGATTGTGTTCTGTGATAAGAGTGCGGTTTATAATAATGTAGACACGGATGATATACCTGGCGTCTATTGGGCAAGGGCTTTATGTGAAAAGTTCGAGTAGGTTAGTAGTTAAAAAGTCGAATTTGAGTAGGTAATTTTTGTGCAAGGCTGAGGTAAAACTGCTATGAAATTGAGGCTGCCAGTTCGATGTGCTCCCATGTGTATGCTGTATGTATTCCAGCCAGTAGAAACGATCGATTGGGGTGAGAATGAGAAGATAATGCCCAACAAAAGAGATCAGGTCACACTTGTTGGTCGAGATATCTCATGTTATGAAACGACTTGTTGGATATGAGTGGATATATTTGCCGATTGAATGAATGAATATAATCAGAGAATTGGGACATATGATCCGCAACTAAGATAATCAAAAATGGGCCATGGGCTAACGGTCGAGGTCAAGAACGAACACGAAACGGATCACTCAGAAGAGTCAAAGTTAAAATGAGGAATAAACAAGGCGAATGGCGTCAGCAACAGACGATTCGGACCGGACCCCTGCCTGTAACAGTGGATGGTTGGGTTTGGGGTTGGGTTTGAGAACAAAGAGTTATTGTAGTGATAAGACAAGGAAGGACAAGGGAGGGAAGAGTCAGCAAAGAAAC